AAAAATTAAGAAAGCCTAAGGTTCATGTGGGATACCATCAAAAGGAATAACCTACATGTCATTGGAATTCCACAACAGGAAGAGAAAAATAAAACCACGGTGAAAGTTGTCCAAGATTTAGTGGAAGAGAACTTCCCTGATATGATGAAAGATAAGAATATATTCATTCAGGAAGTCCAGCAAACCCCAAATAGACCCCAAAGAAAATCACCAAGACATAGCATCATCAAATTCACCAAAACCAAAGACAAAGAATCATGAGAGCAGCATGGGAAAAACGAAAAGTTACCTAAAAGGGGCAACCAATAAGACTAAGCTTGATTTCTCGGCAGAAACCATGCAGGCGAGAAGACAATGGGATGGTATATATAAAACCCTGAAAGAGAAAAATTTCCAACTAAGAATTATGTACCCAGCAAAATTGTCCCTCAAATATGATGCTGAAATTAGGACATTTCCAGATAAGCAGAAATGAAGGGAATTTGTTAAAACCAGATCAACCTTACAAGAGATGCTAAAGGGAGTCCTTTGGACAGAGAAGCAACAACAGCCAGCAACAACTGACCATTAACACATATGATGACATAACCCAGAAACCAACCCAGCTATGGAAGTATCCAAAGTAAATAAGCCTAAAAGATTGTAAACAGGGAACCAGAGACACCAATTGACAAATGAGGACAACTACAAACCAAAAAGAGGGAAAGAACTGTGCAGTTACAGAACTTCTAGATGGTAGGGATGTCAAGACAACTACAAGATAGAACAGACTGTTCTAAACTTGGGAAGAAAACTATAAATCACAAGGTAACCTCAAAGAAAAATGATAAACCTTCACATCAAAATAAAAAAGAGGACCAGCATAAATATTCAGCAAATACTAAAACAATAGCAACAAAGGAAGTGATAACACGATTCATAAACAAAATGAGCTCAGCATAGAAAATTATATGGAACGAAGAAATCGACACCACAAAAAAAGCACATAACAAAAATGACAGCAACAAATTCATATTTGCTGATAAGTACATATCTGGCAAGAGACTTATCTCTAAGATTTGTAGAAAACTCCCAACACCTCAACACCAAAGGAATTAACAATCCAATTGAAAAATGGGCAGAAGACATGAATAGACACTTCACCAAGGAGGATATTCAGGTGGCCAGCTAATACATGAAGAGATGCTCACAATCATTGGCCATCAAAGAGATGCAAATCAAAACAACAATGAGATACCGTCTCACCCCAGAACTGATGGCAAGGTTCAACAAGACAGAAAATAACAAATGCTGATAGGGATGAGGAGAGATTGGGACTCTCATACATTGCTGGTGGGACTGTGAAGTGACACAACCACTGTGGAAAGCAATATGGCAATTCCTGGGAAAGCTGGAATTGGAGATACCGTTTGACCCAGCAATCCCATTACTAGGTATATATCCTAAGAGGTGAGAGCCAGGACAGGAACAGATATATGCACACTCATGCTCATCGCAGCACTATTTACAATAGCAAAAAGAAGGAAACAACCTACGTACCCTCAGTGGAAGAGTGGCTGACCAAACTATGGTACATACACATAATGGAATGCTATGCAGCACTAAAGAATAATGTAGATTCTGCAAAACGCTACATAATATGGATGAACTTGGAGGACATTATACTGAGTGAAATAAATCAATCACAAAAGGACAAATATAATATTAGTTTGTTGTTGTGGAGGGTCAAGGAAAGGTTTATATATGGAGGAAAACTTTCTTTGTTAGTTGCCAGGGGTAGGAAGGGAGGGGAGGGAACACTGTAAAAAAAAAAAAATGCATTGACCCATGTCACTTTAGTTTCGTGTATTTCACTGTACATAAATTATATTTCAATAAAATGCATTAAAAAAAGAGTAAGATGAGTGTCTAGGGCCAACCACACCCAAGTCTACTCCTACACTCTCAGCAGATGCCCACCCTGGCTGTCACTGACATGTGGGATCATGTGGCTTTGCCTGAGCTACTGTCCTTCTAGTAAATTGGGTATCTATGCCCAGGCAAGAAATGCTAACTGAATTGTACATTTTTTTGCTTGTGGATTTGTAAGGGAGGCCGAATCTTGCCCTTTCTTGGCAAACAGCTTAACATCCAGTTACAGAAAAAAATATAAACACATTATTTGAGAGAGACTCTCCTAATTCATGGCAATAAGAACTATAAAAATTCAGGTAAGAGAGAGATCACTGAAGTCTTAAAGACCAAATAGGACTCAGATCATTAAAACCAAAAATCAAACCAAATTCACTGTCACCGAGTCCATTCCGACTCATAGCAACCCCCATTGGGTTTCCAAGGCTGTAAATCTTTATGGGAAGCAAACTGCCTCATCTTTCTTCCATGAAGCAGCTGGTGGATTCAAACCACCAACCTTTTGGTTAGCAGCCAAATGCCTTAACCACTGCACCACCAGAGCTCCTTCCAGATAATTAAGGAGGTGATCAAATGGTGTTCCAGGCAGGTGTCAAAAATAAATGGGTCTGGGCAACAGTAAGGTGATGAAAAGGAGCAGGGATATGTAGGCCATTTCAGAGAGAATAGGGTATTTACAGTGAGCTAATAATGGGGTTAGTTCAATTTCCAAATCAATGAGAACTGGTGAAGGCTCCAAATAGGAAGACTCAACCCTAATCTGGCATCTTTGCAAGTTATTCAGAGCCTAAGACTATGTTCGGCAGGAGGGAGAGAGGCAGAGGGAAGGTGGAAGGAACTAAAGATCACTGAGAACCACACTGGGAAAGAGGTATCATTCTCATCATCATCATTCTCATCATCATCATCATCATCTTGTTACAAGTGAGAGAACTGAAGCTGAAGTAGTTTACAATGATGCCCCATGGGAACGTAGTCCAATCCCATTGCTTCTATTCTTTCCTCTGCTACAATAGAGAGATCATTAAACTACATTTAATTTCCTTTTCATTTTCTTTCCTCGTTTTGTTTTTTGTTCTACCTGATTCCAAAAGCTTCTTGGCACAGGCTATCTGCTGGTTTTCACAAGCCAAATACAGTGGAGTGCCCAGGTGTCTGATGTTACGGTCAATGTTGCTTCCATGAGCTACAAGAGACTCCACACACCCCACATGGCCTGCAGCACAAAACAAGAAAAAACAGTTACAGCACAAGTTCCGTAGCTATGGAAATACGACTTTCCCCACTTGTTGAGTTGAAATTTCCCAGCAATTTATCCAGAGGACCGAAATCCATCCCCTTTGCTTCAAATAGGAAAGGATTCTAAACACTGCCATCGGTTCACAGGTTGGCAGCAAGACCATGATCTGCAGCTATGGGTAGAACTCACCTGGGAGTTCATTAGTTACTTTTAAACAACTAGCAACCAATCCCCCCTTTTCATTTACTTGTGAAGTAATTAATCTAGGTACAGAAATTGAACTGAGAGTTGCAAAGAGCTTGGTGAAAAATCAGCCACTGAAAACCCTACGGAGGATAGTTCCACTCTAACACATGGGGTCGCCATGAGTCAGAGTCAGCTCAATGGCAACTGGTTACTGGTTAGAGAGGAACAAGGACCTAAAGTGGACCTGATGAAGACAGGAAGTAGCATGGGCCATGAAACAGGGATGGGAGCTTACAACCTCAGCAATGGCAGCCCTGAGAGCAACAGGCCCTGGTGGGCACAGGCAAGGCTTTGAAGCAGCTGCCAAATGCAAAATGAGTAGGTCCCAACAGAGTCAACTAGGCTGGGTCAAAGCTAAATCACTCTTGCTTGGTCCAGAAGGCCACACGTTAAACAGTGCTCCTTTGCATTTCTCTTGTTGTGCCTCTTCAGTTCTATGTGTCCAGTGAATATGACGAACCAGCATGTCTCTTAAGAACTGAAAGGCAATGCTTTGGGAGATAATTAATATGAGTAGATCCAGTCAAAAGGGCTGTGGTAAGGATCGTGGGAAGCCATTTTCTGAAAGCCCGGTGGGAAACTGAAAGCCCAGTGGCAAAGTATGGTTATTAAGCTGCTGATGATGATGATGACTATCAGAGAAAAGCAAAACTTGTGATTTTATTTTTGTCTCAGAGTTCACAATATCAGGAAAGTTATGGCATCATGAAAGAACCTACCTCAGACTGTTGTTGTTGTTGTTATTGGCTGCCATCGAGTTGTCTCTGCCTCATAACAGCCCTAAGGTGTAACAGAAGAAAGAGTGCCTGCTCCTGTACCATCTTCATGATGGTCGATCATTGGTATGTTTGGGTCCATTGTTGTCGCTGTTGTATCAAGCCATCTCATGGAAGGTTTCCCCTACTTTCACTGACCCTCTACTTTACCAAACCCCAAATTGTATATTACAATCTTGTAATTCCAAAAATTAAAATCAGTTTGTTTCACTTAGCAAACTTAAGTAGCCCTGAGACAATATTCTCTAAGACCCTAAAACAGCAGAATATAGTTTGTTTTCAAAAATAACTTAATTTCTAAGGGGCCACAGATTCAACAATATATTCCACAAATAATGACGGTCTCCTATTCCAAAGGCATTGCATTGCCTAAGGCACTTGTGACTGCTAACCAGAAGGCTGGTGGTTCAAACTCACCAGCCACTCCTTGGAAGGAAGGTTGGGCAATCTACTTTTGTAGTGATACCACCTCGGAAACCCAAGGAGGGGTCGCTATGAGTCAGGTCCAACTCGACGGCACATAACAACACCACCAACAAACTCACTGTGCAGAAGAGTCACTTGAAGGGCTTGTTAAATAAAACACAGGTATCTAAGGCCCTCCACAGAGCTACTGATTCAGTGGATGTGCAGTGGAGCCCAAGAATCTGCATTTGCATTTCAGGTCATGCTAAGCTTCTGGTCCAGAGATCCTACTTTGAGAACTCCTGCTCTAAAATATATTTCCTGTTTTCCCTGTCTTTCAACAGTAAGATGTCTCCAAAGGAATAGGTGAAAAACTTAAATTCTCAGCAGATTTACCTCTTTTAGCAGCTTCGTGGATGGGGGATGCCAGGTCATTTGCAGAGTTGGGGCTGGCTCCATGCTGCAGAAGCAAATTCACGCAGTCCTGGCTGCCACTGACACAAGCATTAAACAAGGGAGTGTGCCAGTCTGTAGTATGGCCATTCACCTGGAAAGGAAACCTCCAGGATGAAGGCAGACAGTGCAGTGTCCTGGGTTCAAATGTAGGATCAAATACTTTCAAGCTGTTATTTAACCTCTCTGAGCTTTAAATTCCACAGCTACAAAATGGGAAGAAAAATATCAGTTCTACAAGGGTGTTGTGAAAAACTGAATGAGGTATCAAACGTAATGCAACAGAAATGTTACTGCATGTTCTATCTCCCCCATGCCTTTTTCAGGAACATGAACTTCAAAATTAGCTAGAATCATTTCAGTAGCTTCTAGCTTAATCTCCTTCTTTTAAATCTTCCTTCCTAGATCCCATCCCACACCAAAACAGCTTCTTCATAGTAGCCAGAGTAACTTTCTACAAACGTTTAAAGTATAATTTTAATAAGTTAAAAACATAAGTTTCATGTCTCAGATTTTGAGGATTGGAGAGCTGTATAATTAGTCAAAGCAATGCTGAAATAAATTTACTAATAAGTACAAAACTAGTTAACATCCTATAAGGCATATACGAATCTGGGAAATTTGGAAGTTGTCAAAACTGAAATGGAATGTATAAAGATTGATATCCTAGGCATTAGTGAGCTGAAATGGACTGGTGTTGGCTGTTTTGAATTGGACGATCATATGGGTCTTCTATTCCAGGAATGACCAGTTGAAGACTAATAGTGTCACATTCATCATCAAAAAGAACATTTCAAGATCTACCCTGAAGTACAGTGCTATCAGTGATAGGATAACATTTATAACCAGAAGGTTGGCAGTTCAAAAGCACCAGCCATTCCTCAGAAGGAAGATCGGGCACTCTACTTCAGTGGTGATACTGCCTCGGAAACCCAAGGAGGGGTAGCTATGAGTTGGATTGGACTCGATGGCAATGAATTTTTTTTTTTTTTGTATAAGGAAGACTAATTAATGAGACTATTATGCATATTTACACACAACCTACTGAAGCCAAAAATGAAGACATTGAAGATTTTTACCAACTTCTGCAGCCTGAAATTGATCAAACATGCAATCAAGATGCATTGATAAAATGCTGGTGATTGGAATATGAGTTGGAAACAAATAAGAAAGACCAGTAGTTGGAAAATATGACCTTGGTGATAGAAACAATGCTAGAGAATGCATGATAGAATTTTGCAAGACCAACAACTTATTCATTGCAAATACCTTTTTTCAACAACATAAACATCAACTATACATGTGGATCTCACCAGATGGAATACACAGGAATCAAATCAACTATATCTGTGGAAAGTGATGTGGAGAAGCTCAATATCATCAGTCAGGACAAGGCTAGGGCCCAGCTGCAGGACAGACCATCAATTGCTCATATGCAAGTTTGAGTTGAAGCTGAAGAAAATTAAAACACGTCCATGAGAGCTAAAATACCACCTTGAGTAAATCCTGCCTGAATTTAGAGACCATCTCAAGAACAGATTTGACGCACTGAACACCAATTGAAGACCAGATGAGTTGTGGAATGACATCAAGAACATCATATATGAAGAAAGCAAAAGGTCATTAAAAAGAAAGAAAAGACCAAAATGGATGTCAGAAGAGACTCTGAAACTTGCTCTTGAATGGACATAGCTAAAGAGAATGGAAGAAATGACAAGATAAGAGAGCTGAACAAAAGATTTTGAAGGGCAGCTCAAGAAGACAAAGTAAACTATTATAATGAAATGTGTAAAGATGTAGAAAACCAAAAGAGAACACTCAGCATTTCTCAAGTTAGAAAAGCTGAAGAAAAAATTCTAGCTTCAAATTGCAATACTGAAGGATTCTATGGGCAAAACAGAATCCTTCAATATTGCAAATCACGGCTTGATTTTCTTTTTCTTCAGTTCTTATATTGAAGGATTCTATGGGCAAAATCCACCACTCGTTGTTGTACTGTGGTGGCTTGTGTGTTCAGTGAGCCTAGAGGCTATGCTACTGGTATTTCAAATCCCAGCAGGGTCACCCATGGTGGACAGGTTTCAGTGGACCTTCCAGACTAACACAGACTGGGAAGAAGGGCAGGCCCATCCACTTTTGAAAGAATTGGCCACTGGAAACCTTATGAATAGCAGTGAAGCACTGTCTGCTATATTACTGGAAAACTTTTTGAACAGCCATGAAATAACATCTGATACAGTGCCAGAAGAAGAGCCCCTCAGGTCAGAAGTCATTCAGAATATGACCAGGGAAGACCTGCCTCCTCAAAGTAAAGTGGACCTTAATGACGTGGATGGAGTAAAGCTTTCAGGAGATTCATTTGTTGATGGGGCACAACTCAAAATGGGAAGAAACAGCTGCAAACATTAATTAATAATCAGAATGTGGAGGTATAGGATTAGCAGACAATGTCTCTACATGCGTATTTGTATATGCTATAAGAATATCCAGGGATATAGTAGAGCGGACAAGGCACAAGGTTGTAGTGGCTTCTTGGCCCAGCCAGCCACCCAGAGGGAGTGAGTAGTTGGACCTGCAAGCTGGGGACCATAGTCACAGGGGACATCAAGCTCAATTGGCATAACATACTACACAAAAACATTGTCCTACATCCTACTTTGGTGAATAGAGACTGGGGTCTTAAAAGCTTGCAACTGGCCATCTAGAGGCAATAATGGGTCTCTCCTCATCCAGAGCAAAGAAGAATGAAGAAAAAACAAAGATGCAAAGGGACTGGTAGACCATGCAATCCTCAGCCTATATGACCATGAGACCAGAGGAACTAGATGGTGTCTGGCTACCACTGTCAACCACTCAGAGGGGGGGTCAGTGCAGGAGATCCTGGATAGATTTTTTTGCCTTTTTTTTTCAGTTTCTTTGTTTTTGTCTGCTTTAAAAATAGTACTATTATTTTTTCCCTATCCTTTTTATTATTATTCTTTATTCTTCCCTTCCCAGGTTCTAGTTTTCAGCTTTTTCTCTCTTCCCTGTTCCTGATTCCCTTTTTTTTTCTTTCTTTCTTGTGGTTAACCCCATTCCTTGTTTTTTCTTTTTGCATTTTC